CTGTATTATTTATCTCCTCTCACACTTGTCTTGGCTGAATAATGAGTACACCAGATACTTAAAGAAGGACAAGTTACAAACTCTAAGGAACCTGATTTCCTAATGACCCCATGGACAGCCACTCAGTCAGGACCTATTCTACGAGTACTGAACTACCACACATGAGCAAGAAGTAAAAAGTTAAAATAAGCCACTGAAAATTAAGAGCTTATCTATTACAGCAGCTATTGTTAGGCTGTTACAAGGTCCTATGGAATTTAGTTAAAAACATGTCAGTAAGTGTGTTAAAACCCTCCAGCCCTCCAAACCCAGTAATTCATAAGAAGGGGCTTGAAACACACACACACACACACACACACACAGATATAAATGGCACAGAAGTGAGAAAAATTGGAAGAAAGAAAAGTTCAGGAGAAAAAGCAAATTTCTCAGGATATGAGGCTAAGGGAAAGTCGAGGGGAAATGAACAGGGGCTTTTGGGAAAGAAGTGACTGGTAAGTATACAGTATCTATGCCTACCTACATGGTGAGAAGATACATATTATTAACTAATTGTGAAGATGCAACAAATATATACTGAACAAGAGGAAAACATTGAGTCTTTAATGTTGGAACAGTAATTATCTTAGCAAAAAGTATACTCTTACTATTGACTACTACCCACTGCAGCCATTGGGAACCAAAACTGTAACAGGCATTTTTATAAAAGACAAATACATAGGAAACATAAGATGAGGCAGATTCTCTAATGGAAATGGGACAAGACAACAGGATGAGAACAAGAGGGACCATTTTCTTTTAGTGAGTACCTGGGATCTATATACACAGGCCCATTAGTCATGCACAAAATACTGAAAAAAAATAGTTTTACAAAGTTCATAGAAGAGGGTTTCCTTTCTTGGAGATTGGCTACATTGATAAAGAGCAATACTTTTGATCAAAAGTTAGGACAGACTATTTTAGCTGAAAACCTACCAGGGAAGATATTTGTTTCTGCTGAGAAGTGAGGAGGAATTTATCCTCACATATTGAAGCATGAAAGTGGTAGTACAGGATTCCCACAATAGAATCTTGAGAGGAAGGTTATAATTCAAGGCATTAACCTTGACAATGGGTTTATCAGAAATGAAGGAGCAGTTGCAGTGGTAAAGGGTGTGTAGGCAAGGGAGAGTTACTTTAAATATCTGCTCCTGATCCTGATAGGTATTCAAGATAAGCTGTATCATATCTAATTCCATTCCAGTATGTTTTGGATTAGATCTTTTTTTCCCACTTTAGTATTTTAAAAAATTCCCCTGGAAACTTTATATATATATATAGGCAAAAAGGAAAAAGCAGTCCAGTGGCTTAAATAAGAAAAAAATAAGGCAAAGTTAAAAAAGCTGTTAAAAAATCAATGTTGGATTGAGAGAACCTGGTTCAGATCCCAGCTCTGCTACTTACCATGCTGAATAAACAACTTAATTTCTCTATGCCTAGTTTTCCTCATCTATACAATGGAGATAATAATAGAAGGGCAAAGTAGGGCAAAGTGCTTTAACTATGAATGTATTAACTGCTTCTATTATTATTTATTGCATCCATTCCAGTTTCTGTACCAGAAAAAAAAAAAAAGAAAGAAAAGAAAAAACAAGCAGTAGGAGAAGAAAGGGAAGTATCAGTTACTGAACATGGAAGAAGTATCACATATAAAATGTCAGAGAATGCTAGCTCTTCCCCAACATTTCTTCTCCTTCCTGGATAACACTTCTAAACTACATTTCCCAGCCTCCTTTATAGCAACATACACCCACATGGAACTGAGTTCTGACCAGCAGAATGCAAGGAAAACTAATATTCATTCCAGTTCTGGGCAATTAACACACTCCCAAGTTTTCCTCTTTCCAATGCCTTGATGCAAGTAAGCACGGTGACCCTGCTGAAGATGGCAAGGACACAGAACAGATGAAGGCTGGGTCTCTGAAACACACTTTGAAGGAGTACTGCCATGGTCACCCATTGTGGGACTTCGCACACTGAGAAATAAATATGTTTCACATCTGAGGCAGTATCCTTTTTCGATCTGTTATAGCTGTTAAATAGACAGTCTAATAGAGCCAAGCTCTTGATCTATGTTGACTCATGCTCTCATGTTTAATCCCTATCATGATGCCTTGAAGTAGATGTTATCCCAATTTTATACCTAAGGAAACTAAGGCTCACAGAACTTAAGGAACCATATTGCCCAATGCCATAAATGTAATAAATGATGGAGCCAGATTTGGATCCAGGTTAATTTGCTTCAAGGTTTATGAAATTTCCAGCTTCCACACAACATTGCAATGTGGAAAGTGTCCTTCCCATCCTCCCTTATTTACTCCTAGGATTCTTTACTTCCTGACCATTGATACTTTAGTCTTTACACTAAAATTCCATTTTAAAAAAATTCATCTGTATATCTACATTGGGAGATCTAAGATGACATCTCCCAAACACATTCATCCCTTATACCTCATTCCATCCACATATGAGTCTATGACAGGAAAATAAGTGTGCTTAATCTATTTGTTACAGGAGATATCAAAGTGTAGCATTTTAACAACTGGCTAGAGTATCAGAGATAATGAGCAGCAGAGCATAGAAGGAGAAAAAGATTTAAAAAATCTCAAACCAGCAGTGATCTTTAAAGTGTGATATACACCCCAGGGGCTGTGCAAAATGATCCACTGGGATACTTAACAGCATGAGAACTTCTGTTTCATAATTTTTGCTTTATTCATCCTTTCTTTGTTTCTTTTTCTGTGTGGTTTTATAAGTCGTGCATCATATCACAGCATGTCTTCTGTTTATAAATAAATTTTATTGCTATGTTGTCAGATTACTTCTGATAGTAATAATTGAAGATCAATATATCTAGGCAGTAAATCCTGCCTCCTTGCCTCCTTCACTAGACTTAAAACATAGCATTAGAGGGAAAAAAAACAAAAAGGAACAAAAAAATCTGAGTTTAGAGACATCCTCCTGCCTATCATATGAAATTCATTAAACTAAAATAATATAAAAGCAAGTTTTTACAAAAGATTTATTTTTTAAGATGAGAGGTTAAAGCAAATGCATATTATTGTCTGTTTTCAAATAACAAAGAAGAACCAACAAGTTAAAATCTTAATCAGACAAACTTGTAGAAAATCAGTACTATACACAAGAATTTTCTGCTGAGTAGTTTAAAACAGTCAGGTTGCTTTTAGTTTTTTAAGACCTAAACTGAAGTAATGGATGCCCTGTGTACATTTCAAAGAAAAATTGCAGCCAAAAGATTTGGTTCTTAGGGAGAAAAGAAATCAGAAAATCTACTTTTGAACAAAAAGGTGAGAGAAGTAGGTAAAATAAGTAAATAAATAAAAAAATAGATTAAAAAATCCAACATCATTTAAAAGGTTAGTTCTCTAATCACTCAATTACCTGCCAATATGAAATGACTATGGAAAAAAGTACTGAATTGACTCCCAGCTAACTTGAAAAGTTTTACAACTCAAAGAAACTGAAAAGTTTTGTCAAAAAAAACTGCAAGTAAGAAAATCTACCTCTGTTGAAACTTACATTGGTTCTGACATGCAGCCCTAAACAAGTCACTTCTCTTAGACTCTTACTCTTTAATTGAAAAGGTCAGTTTTTCCACCCTTGCCAGCCACCTCCCTGGTTTCAGATGGAAAAATAATGAGGTTTATCATCATGATCTCTCCTCAACAAGACAGAGCAGTTGAAGCCAGCTTAAACAAACAAATCAATAGCTATTTTATAAGGCAGCAAAAATAATATTCTCATGAAACTTGTTTTTGATCCTTTGCAATCTTACCTACTCCTGCGACCCTTTGCAGAGATTACCACAAAATCTTTAAAGAAATCAAGATGAAGATAGCAAGAATAAACTCATGGGTAACATGCGAATTTTCTTATGAATGCCACCCAAATCACCTCAAGGTGCCTGTCTTCATGACACACTGTTCTTTTTCACCCTCTTAGGTAGAGACAGAGAAAGAGAGAACAAACTTGATTTTAGCCCGACTTGGGAACGCTATTGTGTGGACCTGCTGGCATGTCTTTACACTGTTACCACAAACCTCAAAATGCAAAAATACAAGCACGTTCCAAATTATCTTATGTAGGTGTCCAATCGACTCAGTTATGAGGCGTTACTCCTTGAAATATCCAGCTCCCACTACAGTAAACTGCAAGAGCTTCCCATGCAATTAAATGAAACTGTGATTCTGACAAACATGTCCCCGCCCCTATGTTGATTTCAGCAGGAAAACTAGAAAAAGTTCCACGAACATTCCTTTCAAGAACTCCTCCTTACAAATAAACCTCCAACACACCTCAAGATCCGGCCCACTCTCCTCCACGCAGACCACAGACCCAAGGTGCTCAGTCACACTGATTCGCCCTACATAACCTCCGCAAGCCTTTTCGCACCAAATCTGGAGACCCTGGCCAGCAAGCAACCGCCTTATCTTTCCGATGCGCGAATCCGCCTCCTCGTAGGAGCTCCCCGCTGTGCTGCAAAATGTTTTCCTGCAGCAGACTTTCTGGCAGGTTCACAGAGATTCAGGAGCCCACGTCCTCCTACCCTCACCTCCATACCTTTCATAAATAGTAAAATATATACACGAAGCACAAGAGAGAAAATGCACGAAGATTTTGAGTCCTCCGTTCCAGAAGGAGCGAGAGTGGATTGGTGTCCGTGGGGCGCCTGGTGCACAGCTCGCTGCTGTCTGGGTCCGGGGAGGAGAGGAGACTGCTGCCTTGCCTCTCAAAAGAAACTGGAAATCCCCCAGAAGTTGTTAAAACGAATGCCACCCAACAAGCTCCCCTGGCAGAGACTGGGGAAGCCAGGTACCTTCCATAAATACAGGCACCTGGTCTATGTCGCTCGCCGCTGTAGCCCCAGCACTTAGCACCCAGCCTGGCACACAGTGGGCACTTCAAAAATCCATGTCTGTTTCCACACGGCCCCTTCCATCATGGATACGGACTCCTGTTCCCTTAGTCCCAAGTCCCTTCAAACCCCAGCCCAACTTCGCCTTCCTCTGCTGTGGGCTCTAACTGGGCTATCAGAAGAAGACCCCCGCCAAGAACCGTAGGCCAGAGGCGGGGACGCACGGAGAGGGGGCAGTAGCCTGAACCAGTGGAGGAGCTGATACTAGAGGTCCCCGAAGCATTCAGAGCTCTGGGTTCCTTGTTTTGTGGCTGCCTCTCAGCGCAACAAACTTATTTTCTAAGGAGAGGAAGGGTCGCTGTGGGGCGACGGTGGCGTCGTCGGGGCCCTGACTTCTCCTGGGCTCCAGCGTTCAGCTCCCACTGGCCCAACCCTGAAGGGCTGTCCGGCTCTGAGCTGTATAGCCCCATAGACGCTGTCCAGCCCTGCAGGAGTGAAAGCCATGGGAAGCCCCCCTGTCCTTCAGGCAGCCTGCGAGGACCCTGCCCTTTCCCCCCAAATCCGCGAGCCGGGTCCCCAGGGCATTGCGCGCCCACGCAGGAGCCAGAGCCGGACCCGGACAGCTCGCGCCTCACTCACCTCAGCACCTGGGCGCTGGACTGGAGAGAGCCTCGGGTGCGGCGCCGGCACAGTCCGAGGGGCCCGGCGTAGTGGCGAAAGCTCCCTACTTGCAACCAATCCTGGTGTTGAACCCAGTGCTCTGTCTGGTGCGGCTTTCCCCTCCTTCTTGGCGCTCGTGGTGGCTGGAAAAACCTGGCGCGCCGGAGTTCGGGCTGCTGGCTCCTCAGCCGCGGGGAGGGGGAAACGCGTGGGGAGGGGGAACGCACGGGCGGGGCGGTGGGGGCGGGAGATGCGCGGGGAGGCCGGGAGTCCGCGCGCAGAGGAGCCGGGCATGCTCAGTGCGCAGCCAAGGAGGCGATGCTGGGCGCAGTACCTGCCTGGCCCTGCGGTGAGGAGGCAGCCCCAGGTCCCCACGCGCGAAACTAGGAAAGGGCACCTCGCCTGATCCTCAGGCCAAAGGAAAAGATCAACCAGATTCTCGTGCAGGGACGTAGGGGTTGTGCTGTTCAGCGGCCAAGGATATGCCAAGGCGATGTCTCCTTCCTTTGCAGCCCGAGAATCGGGGCACAAGGAGGCGCGACCTGCTGCGGTACTCAAACCTCTGGCCTCCGGGATACGCGGAATTCGGGAAATCGTTAAGGCGCCCTGGCCAGGGAAACAAATGTTTCTGCGTCTGGGCTGAAAATTGCTGAACCGGGGAATGTGGGTGGGAGGGTGGCACTGAACTTAAGCCAGAAGAGGGGGCTTTGGGAGCCTTTTACCTGCCTGCCCTTAGGCGGAAGACATTGGCTAGACAGGCTGCGTTACAGATCTGAAGTCTCACCCATGCAACATGCTTTCAGGTTGGAATGTGGGGCGGGGGCGGGGGGAGGTAAGAAAGAACAGTTGCGGTAAAATAGGTACAGGGATCAACTTGTGGTGTGTTGGGCGCGGGGATGGGGCAGGTTGAAAGCCTTGTTCTCCGAAAGAATGTGCTTTGGACAACGTTACTATGGTCATTCTACATTATGAATCTACTGTTTCCTTGCAGAAGTGGCTCCCTTCACTCCCACTCCAAACCTGAGAGTAACCTTAGAGACTGGCAGCAATGCCCCAGCCCCTCACCAGCACTGTTCAAAGTGACTTTGACAGGCAGAGGAGAGCCAACCCAGTCGAACTCATCTGGAATACATTTCGAGCAACCCAGAGAGAAGCTTCGGTTTCTCCGGGAAAAAGCCTCAAGGGTTTTGCTGAACCCAGGTCTTCCTGCTCATCTCTCAGTGGTTCAGAGATACATAAACAACTTCTGACCATTTACACACTTATGTAAACCTACCCTGACATCTCCATTATGTGGAAAAGATGTTAACTGGGAAACTATTTTTAAACTACTGTAGTAAGCAAATAAACATGCAACTCCAACATATATATGCAGCAGCCTTATTAGTTCCTTCAATCTTGTTTTGGTTTGATTTTGTGTTTTGTCTTCTACTTTTCAAATTAATTATTATTTTTATAATTCCTGTTTGGGAAGTGGGCAAATCCAGACTGGTGACAGGTATTGTTGTGGTCAAATTTTTCATCCCTTGAAATTCCATGACTTTCATGATTGCTGAGATTAATGCTAAAGAAAGGAGTTAGCCACTCCTACCCCCACCAAAATTTCCTGATTACTTAAACTTGGAGAGAGATTAGGTAATTAAGTAATTCCTCTCACCTTGTCCCATATGTTTCTGTAACACAGGCACTTTTGCAAAACTGAAATGTTGGTGATGCAGGTGTTTTCCATGGTAAACAGTTATTTAAGATCAATGATTCCCACTCTGAAGGCTTTTGTGCTTCTGCCAGAACCATGACTTATACTACCTGTACTATGATATTTCTTTAGACTGATTATTTTTCTGCAACTATTCAATGAAAAGTACATATATGTAACTTTTAGTAAGACTGTATATCAAAATATGCTTCACAAGAAGTTCTCCAAAAAATATTCCTGTGTAGACCTGAATACTCCTAACACAAAGGGAAATGTAGTGTTTTATACTGGACACAGAATTTCAGAAAAGAACAAAGAATAAAACATGCTGTCACATTCTCCCACTGGGACTATAAATTAAAGCAATTTTCAAAGTTTTAACTATTTCTAAATTTCAAGTGTACCTATCTTGTTTCCATTCTTTCCTTTGGCCTTTATTCTGTGCCTGCTATATGCTAGGCATTGTCTTCTAGTAGATTCTCAGAAACAAACTAAATATGACAAAGACTTACTCCATACTTCACCATGTAGTTAGGAAAACAGACATTGTGTATCTGGAGAGACAGATTTGGGTCATGTTGAGGGGATGTCAGTTAAATGTTAAGTTGGGAGGAGGCATTTTTTATTTTTCATCCACACACCCCCACTGATCCAATGCTAAGCTTGTTCAGTGCCTCCCCAAAATTTTCCTTGCAACAGCAGCTAGTTTAAAATACAGCCAATAATCCAGTCCCTTTTTTCCATCCTGCAGGGAAGAAGCGATGCTCAGCTGCCACCTTTTTCAAGATAGAAAGCCTCTCACGGAAGCTCCCAGGATTGGGGAGTGTTCCTAATAGACTCAGTCCCTGTTAGGAGACAGAAATGGTTTATTTTGATGACAACACCCTCACATGTATGTCTTCACATATCCAGGACCCCAGCTGCATGTCATTTCCTTGATCAGGGGACCTGTGATTGGGATTCTCTGGGGGTGGGGGGATGTTCCAAACGAATCAATTAACGCAGCCAGCAGCAAGTTCAATACCACTGCACTGAGACCCTGCTCTGTATCATTGCATGAATGAATTACTGGTGCTCATGTAATTTGCAAATAATCATCATTATAACACAGTGGAAAATTTATCCTGCTCATTTAGCCTGAGTAGCACATGAGCAGAGAGCTCCAATAACCCTCACAACACCCTCCAAGAATAACTATTTACACATATGTGAAGTTTTATATCCCGGTCTTTTAATATGAGGGTATCTATGTGGACACAAGGTCACCTCTTATTCTCATTAAACCGATTGAATGAGGTCTGATAACTCTTAAGGGAAATCAGCGCTGAAACTGCTTTTGAGTTTTTGGAGACATGAATAGAATACATCATCAGGTTTTACTCAGCAAGCAACAGTTCTGCAAACTCCAGAAAGGGCATCTCTCCATCCCACTCCCCTATTGCCTCTGCCTTATTCCTTCTCTACACATATGAGGATTTGATTAGTGGGGATTTACTATAAGAAGAGGAAAGAGGGAAAGCAACATAAGAGAAGAAATATCTGTCTTCTGACCACATCTGATTTCATGCAATTTTCTCCTTACTCCAAGCATACAGTGGGATTAAAACAAACTCATATACACTACCTTTCTTTATTCTAAATGACTTGAATAAGGTTATTCAATGGAAGAAGTGACTCAATCAGATAAAAATATGGAGGTTTTATAATTATGGTTTTACTTGTTTAATGTATAGGTACCCTAATAGATCTCCAAGCATAAAGTAGCACTTGTATTCCATCTCTGTTTTTAAGATATAACCTCAAGTTTGCTTTGAGTAGATAAATCAGTATTTTTATAAAGAATTGTATCAAAAAGACCTTTGTGTTCTGTTTTGAACTGGAGTATAATAAAATAGGACTCAGCTAAGGACTTTCAGACCAGCCTTGCAAAACTTCCTCCTGTGCAATTGTTTTAGAGGACTGATTGACACTTGAGCTTCAAACTAAGGACATTGGACTAATAATGGCCCTATAGGGGGACAATGATAATTAGCACACAAAAACCACAGCTAATTGTCATGAAGGTTACCACACAGACTGACAGATACTGTCAAAGTAAACTAGAAGCCTGATACCCCACTTAAGATTCCTTTATAAACATGGCTGTGAGACACCCACTGAATTTAAGCATAATACAACGGAATTAGGTATCAATCAACCATTTTCTTAGCCAGATGTTTTCCAGATTTTATTGGATTCTTTATACAAAATCCAAAAATAATTGTTCCAAAGGTCTTTACTTTGCGAAAGTATTTATAGTTGATTTTTGTTGTCCTCAGTAATTATGTTCTATAAAGTCACTGCAAACGCTGGAGACAATAGAGGGTTAGGTTCCTGAGAGCCTCTGGTAACAAGATTTTCGTCAATCAATAAAGATGCTTTCTTTAACATACACTGTTGATTCATTAACATATAACTCATGGCCTGCAGCACTGTAACTGTTGCCTGAAAAAAAAAAAACTGATTTAACACATGTATTTTCTCTGTGAGGCAAATCACAGCTTTCTTGTGCTTAGGAACACTAGACAGCACTCCAGCACTATGCTCGAGGCCATTTTAAGCAGCAAAATCACCAAGAGAAAAACCCCAAATTTGAGAAACATGGCACTAAATATACTGCAAAAGGGAGACTTCTTTAGAGTATGAGAGCTGAAACAAGAACACAGAGCATCACCTCGTTTGATCTCAACTAGGAATGTGTGCATTGGGCAACTAAAATCTTTCATGCTCTGTGCATCTACAAGTACCTCGTGTGTCTACAAGTGCCTACGCATATGCCTTAAGCATAGACTTTGGAGTTCTCAGTAAATTTTAGCAAGTGGGCAAATTCACAAATATGCTATCTGTGAATAATGAGGGTCAACTATACCAAATGTCTCCTTTAAACGGCCACATCCGTCCATATGGTATGTCATTCAATTTAGAGACATTCAATTTATACAGAATTCATCAAATCATTTATATTTTCATCTTATTCTAAACAATGACACTCTATTCACATAATTATATATTTTCTTAAATATTTTCATTTGTTCATATTTTAATATCATTTTCTTCATGTGTCCTGAATTTTTTTCTATCTTTTAATAATTATCCCCTCACTTTTAAAAGCTGCTTAATATTCCATTTCAGAATATACTATGTATAACTCAATTAATTCTCCATTGTTGTTCTGCTATGATAAGCAACTCATTGATGAATGCAGTGAAGTTAAATTTTACACACATTTTAAATTATTAACTCAGAATTAATTCCCAGAATTTGAACTAGTAGGTCAAAAAGTGTATTAGTCCACTTTCACGCTGCTGATAAAGACATACCTGAGACTGGGCAATTTACAAAAGAAAGATGTTTAATTGGACTTACAGTTCCACCTGGCTGGGGAAGCCTCACAATCATGGTGGAAGGCAAGAAGGAGCAAATCACATCTTCCATGGAGGGCAGCAGACAAAGAGAGGAGAGAGCTTGTGCAGAGAAACTCTGATTTTTACAGCCATCAGATCTCATGAGACCCATTCACTAACACGAGAACAGCACAGGAAAGACCAATCCCCAGAATTCAATTATCTCCCACCAGGTCGCTCCCATAACACATGAGAATTATGGGTGGGGACAGGGGGGCCAAACCATATCAAAAAGTATTGTGACCTTCCTCATTCATAATTATTAAATTCTTTCTGGTAGATAACCATGATCAAAAATTAGAGGTAATGGAGGGCCCTAGGCCTCATCCTCAATACCCTCGAAATAATGTAGTAAACTAAGAAGAAATAATTTAAGGCTAAATTCTCCACACATAACAACACAGAAGATATTTAAAAACATCTATTCAAACTGTAAGCTCAATAAAGTCCCAACTCTCTGTGTTTAGAGTTTCTCCAATAGTCCTTTGAATCAAAGATTCACCAGAGGCAAATGCAACAATATTGCAAGGGCAGGATTCAATTAAAGTTTTACTGGAGTCAGGCAACAAAATCCTCTGAAAACTGCACAACACAGAACTGATTGGAATCAAAATCACAGAATGTCATTCCTAAGAATATAGGTTATTGGGCTCACCAGATTCTTTCAGTGCTATGCCAGGGAAAATGCACTGTGCAGTATTTCTAGCCAAATTCATATCTTAAATACCAGTCATTTCACCAGAGAAAATAATCATTCCCCAGTGATTATAATCATTGCTATGTTCAATTGTGCCAATTAGCAAAGCTTCTATTGTTGATAGTAAATACTGTTAATTGAATCTCAACTGAGTTTCAGATAAAACATTTACGGATACTACCTACCTACCTACCCTCTGCAGTATGTATTCCTGATTAGGGCTCTGCAAATGTTAACAGTACCCTTATAGGTTAAAACCAATACACACAAAAACACATGCACACACACAGCCATCAGCCATACATCACACTATATATAACATCTTTAAATAAATTACATGCAACATGGAAAGGTTATACATGTTTTTAATACAGTGTTTATTCATTTTGCCAAAGTTCCTGTCAGTTTACTCTCTCATCATATTTTTTCAGTTCTTTGCATAGTTGCTGAGTATTATAATTTTATTTATATCTTTTCTAATTTGTGGATATAAAGTGTTTCTTGTTCTCCTTTTTTAAAAAAGTCTAGTG